AGACAACATCACCATTTTTATGTTGGGAAAAAAAAATGCTTTTTGCATACACACATTGGTTTTTGATAGGACAAAAAAAAAAAAAAATCTTTCTGAAGAGCAGTTATGCTGGTATTTAAAGGAACAACATCCCCTTTGCTAGTTTGTTACTGGCTGATTCATCCTAAAGCAACACAGGTTGTTTCAGAAAGTGTAGCCATGTTAATAGTGTTAAACAGTAAACAAATTTATTAAGGCAAGTACACTATGGATTTAAAAAGGGCAATGAACTGTAGGTAAAAACACAAGATGTAGTATCTTGCTGCTGAAAACAGCAGCAGAAAGTAGGGAGTACATCTTTTTCCAAATTACAACACTATGAATAGTGTTCCAGCCTTAGAGGTTCTCATAAAAAATACAATAGAAAGTTAATTACAAACTTGTGTCACGATTGGTTGTCTTTAGCAAGTTTTATTTCCAAATGCAACAAGGCTCTAGTGAGGTATCCCCATTCCAACATTTAATCCTTTTTAAAGACTACTGACTTAAGTTGACATTTTGGGAAAAGAAATGAGGCCAGTCTTCTTGCTGAGGTACAGACAGGCTTCCTACTAACATCTAGATTACATAAAGCTCCAGAATAGTACACGAGCAAACAATTCCTTAGAAGACTTGGAACAGGGATCTTGCATTTGCAAGAGAACTTGCCAAAGACCTATAAGAGATGCTGAAGAGTGCCAGGGCAAGAATACTGCTCATTTGGCTAACGTACCCAAGTCTTTGTCTACTGTAAATGATGGTGTCCCTTGCAATCAAAAAGCTGCCTGCCATAGTGCCAAGAAGGAGCCCATAAATGTCCATTTCTGGGAGGGCAGAAGACACGTGGTGCACACGCTCAGTAAGAAGGCAATGGGGTATTTCCACTCGAATGAAGAGCTGAAAGCAAGCGTGTCGGAACTAAGTAGATCAGCTCTGCACTTCTTGGCAAAGGACTAACTTGGGGAAGCGTATTGACCGTGGAACAAGACATATGCCAAAGCACCGCTGCATTCAGCTGAAGACCTATCACTTCTCATTCATCATAAGTAAGAAGGTCAGTGACTGAAAACCAAGCAGTGAAGTCAGGTAAGAAGCAGCCCACTGGATTTCCTACCTTATGCTACACCACGGAGCCTGCCTGCTCTGACACTTCTCTGGCAAGCTGTCTTCGACAGGCTTCATGACACCTGCCAGCTAATGCACAAGTTCTACAAGCTCTCCCATCCATACCGATGATGGGAAAAGATCTTGCACAGCCATTCCCAGCACAAGGAGGGGTAATTCCAGTCCAAGTAGGACATTGCTATTGCATTGTACGTACCTGTTTCACCTGCCTTCCTGGGCTATAGCTTTGCATTTCCAGCACCACCAAAGTACATGGTGCTGCATTAAATGGAAAGTGCCCAACACAGTGGAAAAAAACCCAACCCTCTTTTTTCATATTGGATGGGTCCTTTCGCTTGAGCAGAGTATCTGGTGAGTGGTGAAATTATCCATTTCTTCAGTAAGAAACATCTGTATGGAATATGTGATGAAAATCCAAGCACACATGCATCTGAGGTATAATTCAGCAAACAGTGGCATAAAAGGAAGCAAGCAGCATAGCTAAGAGGTTTAGTTTTCTTTGTCTCAAGACTGGATGGCCTCCACTCCCTTTTGGAACCAGGAAAAAGCTGTACTTTCTTGTCCTCTACAGCTGGTAGGAAGAACTTTTCTAAATGAATATCCTAGGAGAAGGATCTCCAGAATATAAAAGGCAGTTTAAACAAATGGACCTTGCAGTAATCTCAGCCTACGCTCAACACAATTTCTACCTGCACTGGTGATTCTGCCTGGCACAGAAGCCTGAAGAGAAGAAGGTGGAGCGAAGGACAGCTTCAGCTGCGGGTCACTGACATGGTTTTGGGGATCTTGTGAAAAGGGGAGAAAAAGCAACACAGTTAATGGAGCTGCTGCTACTTCTTCCTCTAGGGCTGAACTGCTGCTTCTTACTAGGCACATGTGTGTATCTGCAAGAGTCAGAGAAAACTCAGGCCGGCAGTAGCAACAATGAGCAGTGATACCTGTGGCCAGCGCTCACGAGGGAAAGGTACGAAATGACATACCCCGTGCCTGCTGACTGCAGGCTTGGAATGCAGTGGTGAGCAGAAAGGTTTTGGACTGCAGGATATGTCAGAGCCTTAATAAATCAGCAAGAGCAGGTAACTTCCACAACCATAAATTTGCTCCATAGGATGGCAATTTTGAGCCTGGAGTAAAATCTCAGGTGTCCTTTAGGCACCTACAAAACAGACCCTGAAGAAAGTGGATGCAAAAAGCCTCAAGGTTTGTTTGTAGCCAGAAAGATCCATGAAGTCTCAAGCAGAATAGGATGCCCTAGCTGGACTCTTCAAAGACCATGGTTTTCTTGTGGAATAAAGCTCCCTAAACCCAGCATTTTGCCCTGCAATGACAGCGTGCTTCTACACACTCATCCTGTTCGCATATATTTCCCTAGTAGCCATATTTCTGACTACCGTCACACAGGACAGTGGACTATACAGACCTCTTGTCTGACCTAATATCACTGCTCATGTGAGTAACAGATGGGAAACTCCTCACTTCTGGAAAAGACTATGACTTGGTCGACTATAAAATACATCTGCCACCTACACTAATGTTCTTTAATGTTCTAGGAGATGCAGGATTTTTAAATACTGTGTAGAAGGGTAATGCTCTCTCAGTGTAGACATTTAACATTCCTATGCGCCAGCAAGCCTGTCACTATACAGAACTGGTTCAAGCACTGGTAACCTCAAAAAAAGTAAAAATTATTGAAAGATACAAATAATGAGCAGCAGAAGTAAAATGAAGACAAATAGTAGCTGCTAAAAATGAAAACAGTGGTAATGGCCTTGCTGATCAGTGGTGACATACAGAAAATGCTAAAAAGTCTGAGAGTCAACTCAAGGAAAACTTGAAGAGAAAAAAACCACCAAAGTAGTAATTCTAGGAAGCAGACAGGACATGTAATAAAAGAAATCTTTGCACAAGCAGATTAATAGAGCTGTAGAAGTTTCTTCCTGGTGTACAGCAAGAGAAAAAAGTAGAGGTAATTGTGAACAGCTGAAGGCTGGAAGACAAACTACCACTCTCTAGCCATCTGGTGAGGAATACAAAGCATAACATTCTTCCTACAAAGTATTAAGGCAAAAAATCCCACGGTTAAGCACCTGAGCAGCCTGCAGAACCACACACACACACAGACATTCAAAAACAATCTCATCAACATCATAAAGGCCAAATGTTTAATTTTTAAAATTCTGACTAGAGACATACTGACAGAATACAAAAGGAAGGGAAACTGAATCACAGGTGAACACTCCTCAGGAATTTCCAGACTTGAAAGGAGATGGTACAAAGCAAGGAGTGACCAAAGGGCTCTGGTTTTGGCTTGCTCACATTTTGTCCTTTTTCCACGTATTTTTTCATTTTAATTTTTTTTGAAGACTGGGAACACAGGAAAATGAGGAAAATCAATGTAATAGTTTGAGGGGTTTAATGTCCTTTACTACTGAATTTTGAGATTAACCGTAAAATCAGTTGAATGATTATACTGTTCTTATTTCCTTCCCTCTGCTCTCCTATCTCCGTGTTTTTACTGCAGAGCATGCAAACTCAAAATCTCTACGTAAAAACAATTTTACATTAAAAATCATCTACATCGAATAAAATAGTATTAAAATAAGCACAAGCTGAAACAAACAGGAATCCGGAGCATTCAGTTCTGCTACTACATGTAGAAGGTCTTTCATGCAAAACCCCTCCATGCTTTAGGTTAAAGGAGATGATATTATTATTATTATTATTTCTTTGTGTAATGATAAAAAATACTAAGAGTCGATTTCAAGAGATCATCTCCTTTAGGCAGTCTTTCAGGTGGTACTTCCTGATTCACACTGCTATCAATTTGGAGTTACACTATGGCAGCTGATCCCGCCCTATGGGAATCTTTTCAATTCATTATGAATTCTGAAGATCACATTAGGAAACCAATAAATCGTCAGAACATCAGGTACATCTTAGTAACATGAAAATGCTGAAGGCACCTCATTTGGCATGAGTACCTTCTTTCAAATTTTAGCTTTGCTTTGCAGTTCACATAAGGGAATGTTACATGAATAGGACCATGAAAAAAATCACTTCTATTACAAAAACCCTTTACTGAAGGAATCACCTGTTCAGAGAAAAGCCACCTGAAGCCTGGTATATTTCCACTTAATCACGTATTTTTCTGAATGAGTACATGAACCATCCAGAAAGCTGTCACTTCTTCAGCAGTGAACCCTTGCTTTTGTCAGGTTACCCCCGCCCTAAAAAACTGCAGATTTCCATGTTCAAAGATTGCAATAATGAAGCAGCAGCAGCAGCAGCCTGGTTTAAGTCTACCATGAAAAAAAACCCTCAAACCCCAAAAATCCATGCCAAGGGTTTTGACACCCCCTTTTTATCTTTCATAACCAATTTCGCAACAGGTTAAGGGATAATGGTAACATCCAGGTGTAACATGCACCTCTGCTGAGGTGTATGACTGACGGCTGGTCCCTTCTAGCCATGTGCAGCAGTGCAGACCCACAGCAGAAATCTCATCTACACAGACAGAATTTCACAGTATATCTATATATACAGTAAATGAGGTGTGGATTCTATCTGAGATACCCTTGTATTCATTTCACCAACACAACTGCTATCTCCAGCTGTTAACTGCATTTATAACATGAGAGGCCCTTATAAGCTAAATGTACATTCCCACAGACATGCACACACCTTTACATATGAATAATCAGGAAAAATAAAGTCCCAAACCCAAAGAACAGTAATCTCAGCCCTGCAAAAATACTGCAGTCATGAATTAAACATCACCTTCCAAAGTTCTCTGGTTTGTGCCTGCTCTGGCAAGGGTTCTGGGAACACTGATCACAATCTGAATAGCTTTACATTACCTCCAACCTTAGGCCCACCAGCTGATCCCGGCTTCCTTGCACTATTCGAAGGATTTCCTGGCTTTTTAAGTGCTGGAACCTTGAAGGCTGAAGCAGCTGATGATGGCCTATTTCCATCCACTGACTCTTCATCATCGAAGCTTTTGTCTAGAAAAGGATACAGTAAATAAAAATACAGCTATTGAATGGATGCATATTTATTTCCTAATCAACTGTTTTGTTTCGTATTTCACAGAAATTCACAAAATGCGTAAATAAAAACAAATATTTATCGCTTTGTCCTCTGTCTCTGACCTAGGAACAAAATGACAACGAGAAATAAACAGCATTTTCTACATCGTCAGTGCTTATAAAATGATATAGGTTATAATATTATTTTACCTCCATAATTCACCACTGTAAAACTGAGAATAAAAATGAATCCTCCACATTCATGCCCACAAAGGGAAAATGTCCTTGCACAGATGGAGTATTTTTGCCTATTTCTGAGTATTTTCGCTAAAGAAAAGCCCTTAAAATCAGTTTTATCATTCCATTCTACCACTGACAAATGCTTCTCCCTTTTCTCCTCTCACTCATGCATGTTCTGTCACACACCCTCCCACAATGTCTCTAACCAGCACTCCCTGTCTCCTTCCTTCCACCCTGATTTTCAACTCACAATCACAGATCCTCTTGCAGATCAGCCGCCTCATTCCTCCGACAGCTCTTCGATCCCTCACCCTAGGACGGACCCAGCACCTCACATGGCCACATCCAGCCAATTCTCACTGCTGGCCACACGTTCCATCAGCAGCTGCCCGCGAGCAGCCTGGATCCAGCACCGAGCATGGTGCCGGCATCTTGCTCTGCTCCCCGCACCAGGAGCTGCGCAGCCAATGGGCTGCGGGGGGACATCATCTGCTGGGGCCACCGCCACCGGAGAAGGTGGAAAATATCCATCCAAATACATTCGTTCCCACACACCGTATCTGCCACTATCCCAGCCCTTCGTTAAAGACACCAGGCAGGCAGACAATGCTCTGGGGTTTGCACTCCTCCTGCCTTGTAATTCCGGGTGTGTGCATTTTTAATGGAGAAGGAAACTCATCTCTAGTGACGAAATAAAATAGTCTCAACACAAAACATTTAGCCTTAAAAATAAAGCAACACCAAAACCACCAAAAAAATACCCAACACTGGAAGGTGAACGTTTCCCAACCCACTTGGAGGAAGAAGGATTTATCTATGAGCTTGAGCACAGAAAGCCACATCTGCCTATGGTTCCTATGGTAAATAAATGGGCGAGGCTGAGGCACAGCTGCATGACAGCAATGAAGGAGCACTTGAGCTTGTTACCTGCTCCACACCCTGCCCACTTCTAAAAAAATAGTATTAATTACAAGGCTTTATCATCCCTGCAATGGTAACTATTTCCCTGCGCTTATTCTGAGCCTGCTCCCACTGAAATGTCAGCTATATTTAATAACAGCCTCCCTTAGGAAGGCAGCTTGCATCAAAAGGGGAAAAGCAAGGTGCTGTCCAACAGCATCTGCAGCACCAAACGACACAACATCCTGCATTTGACATGCCCAGGAGCCCTGCTGCTGCGGTTAGGACATCTTCCCAGCACCTGCGAACGGCAGCGTGCTGCACTGACAAACCTGCACGCCCTGAGACACACCACCCCACCCCAAGAAACATCTGGGAGTATACCGACAATTTCCACTAACGTTATCCCCTTCTCCTCTACTAACAGCCATTTTTAAGATAATCTGGCTGGGAAGAATCGCCTATTATGGCTGCATAAACTCTGGGAACCGGGGAAGAGGCACCAAGCCCCCCCTGTGTGTTGCCATGGGAACCGGGTTGAGGCAGAGCCGCTGAGTCCAAGGCTCCAGCCCACAGCATCCCACGTAGAGCCAGGGAAAACCACTCACGCCAGCGCCAGATGAGCTGCAGTGAAGTCAACACGGAAACAGACATGTAGATTGCCACGGTTAACAGCTAGGTGAGGCACCTGCAACACCATGGGCCACTGTAAAATAGCACTGTGAAACACCTTATAGGTTTTAAACAGCATGGGCAGATCAACACTGACACATGAATATGTCGTCATGGAAGCTGGTTAAATCATGCTTTTCAAATAAAAACGGGTTTGTTGCTGCATTTTTAAACTCTGGCAAGGAAACAGGCAGGTCTGTCATGTCCAAACGCACGACGGTGCAGTGCTGATGGGCAAATACTGCACAAGAAGCCTCTGAAAAATAAAGTTATTTGCAGCACAATCTTAAAAATAGCAAGTGAGCATTTGCTCATTTATGCAAAACCTCCTCATCGAGAAAAACCTCAGCAGCCCCAAACACCAGCGTGCTTTGGGAACCAAAAGCTCTGATAAATCCTTTTTACTGTTACCAAGCTACTCCTTACAAAGGAATGCTGAAGATGGAGAATTGCAGAAGTTACTGCTCAACCCCTATGTGCGCAAGTAGAACCTCAGCAAAATGCAAAGGCAACAGTACCAGGTTGTGGAAAATTATACACGTTGTGGAAATTACAGGACGATGTATTGGACAACAGCCTTGGTAACACTGCCACATTACTCCGCCTAGTTAATAGAGTCATAGAATCACAGAATGGTTTGGGTTGGAAGGGATCTTAAGATCATCCAGTTCCAACCCCCTGCCATGGGCAGGGACGCCTCAACCTGCACCATGTCGCCACAGGCTCTGTCCAACCTCGCCTTGAACACTGCCAGGGATGGAGCATTCACCACTTCTTTAACCAACCCATTCCAGTGCCTCACCACCCTCACTCTAAAGAAATTCTTCATACCCAACCTGAACTTCCCCTGTTTTAGTTTAAACCCATTACCCCTATTCTTTTTCATACATTTAAAACACTGTTAACACTGGATTAAAAACAGACACTATAAAATAGTTTCATACAAGTTCATAGTCCACACAAAATCTACTTTTAAAATAAATTCCTTTTTTGTTTTTAAATGCCTAAATACTTGAGACACATAAAACTGATCTTAATCACTGATACACTGGTGTCCATAACTAGACTTTGCATGAATTATGTTAAAACACATTAAAGGTATAGCACACTACCATAAATGTGTAAAGTTAATGGGTGAAAAGGGTCTGTATCGGTTCTATGAAGGCTAAACTCATAATACAGCTGAGTTTCTTTTGTTGAGTACTTGTTTTTTGATGGGTTTGTTGATTTTTTTTATCACATGTGAGCAGGAAAATTTTGTACTGTCCTTTCCAGAAACCAGAGGTTTTCCCCACCCTTTTGGGCCTTTACACTTTTATTTCCCTAGGCTTTAGCCACGACATAACTGGAACTCCTCACAGCACCACACCGGGTGCGATGATGCTGCACTGTCAGTATCCGGCCATGACTGCAGTTGGTTTCATGCAGCCGACAGGAGTCACAAAAGCCTAAATATGATGGATATTTCACACCAAACCTATCTGAAGGATGCAAACACTGCTTCATTCTAGAATGGCGAGGTAATTTTCATCCTAGGTCATTTTAAAGGCTATACACATACAGAGTATCCCATTTACATATGCAAATACACCTGACAGCTGGGAAAGCATCATCCCAACAGCACTGCAGAACAAAGTCCCCAGGGATAAAAAAAAAAGGAATACAAAACGGTATGAACTGCTAGCAATGTACAGAACATCTTGAATGAAAACCACAATTAATGAAAGACACAACCTCAGTTAAGTCTCGCAGGACTGTTCTTGCACTCAATATTGCCTTTTTAAATCACAGCAGGTCAGAAGAGCTTTGGAGGTAAGCACAGCCCACAGAAAAGAGCTTGGAATCTCCTATTGCCATAAGCTGCTCAAGAGACCTGAAGGGCTGCAAATGTTCCTGCTCTGGTACAAGTTCTTTTCCAGATGAACAATTTCAAAGCAGAAAAGAGGGGAAAAAATATTCAAGAAAAGATTGTTCTTCTATTCAGAAGCACACAATTCCATTTCCAAGCATTAGAAGTTTTCTCCTCTAAGAGGGGAAAGAAATCTGTACCGCAGTGCAGCGTTCCGGGGTGCTGTGCAGCAAGCGGACTGGTGCCAGTGAACTGCTGTGCGTTGCTACAGAGCCCTTCAGTGGAGCCAAACGCATGTTCTTAGTAAAACACTCCCCATAACCACCTGTGGGACACATCAGACCCTGGCGTTTGCCACACTTCCAAAACTTGGGGTTTACCGAAGTTATTCACAGATTAAATCCAGACACACCTAATCAGTTAGAAACACAAACCAAACCCCAAACCATCCCAGAGGTCTAAATACTGAAATTCTTAAGGAATAAACTATGCAACTTGAACCAAAATAACCACAAGATACACGACATCTTTGTGCCTTGGAGCACTACTGTGGGGGCCAGATTTACAAACATGTAGTATCTGGTTTTTAAAGTATTCAGAGAGATCAAAGGACAAGCATTTACAATCAGACTTGATACTCAAAGAACATCCTAGTACCCCAATGCATAACAACCTGTTTAATGCGATTTGCCATAGAACAACAAGGCTATCTACAGATGTACCCAGAGAAAAAGAAGAATCTAAAACTGTTCATATCTAAAGAAAATAATATTTTACTTTTAAAGAAAATTAAACACATTTCTTGTTTCTGCAGCTCAAGACTTTACCTTAGTTGGTCTTAAAATTGATAGATCAGTGTGACATTTAATATCTAACAGTTGGCAAGTCACAGTCAATAACAGAAAGAAATATCCTATCCCCTACACAGCTGTAGTAACAGATCTCTATTCTATTTGTGCCAATCTGACGTTAGCTGATCCTAAAGCAGGTCCCCAAGTAACCAGAGCAGGGAAAAAATCCCAGATCCCTGCAAGTAACAGGGGACTAAAGCTGGCCACCAGGGCAAATCTCAGTATTGCATCAGTACTGGCATTCTACACATCTAACACTACTAGGGCTGTAAGTACCAACTTGCGGTATGTCACAGGAGATTGACAGCAGTCAAACCAGAGAACATAGTATCTTTTATAAAACTGCTTTTAAGCTTTGACTTTGGTTAAAGTTTAAAGCAGAAGCTGTTTGTAATGACACGACTGCAGACTGTGACCAAGCAAAACAAGAACAAGCAGATGAACTCCTCACATCTTCTGAGTTGGTCCCACATCCTGCACCCACCAAGACAGTGACCGCCCATCTCTCTTCAGTGATTTACAAACACACTCTGCATCAATCACTTGGAACATAAGGGTCTGGATCACTACCTTCCAGATGAACTGGTGCAGCCTACAACAACTGCTGTCAAGCATGAAAATGAAGCCACAAGCACTACAGATGCATCAAGTTAGTTGATCCTTCTAATCCATACCTCAAGCCAATGCCCCACATCATTTAGTGAGCACTTTATCCCTTACACTCAGGTGTTCCATACAGCACGTATCTGTTTACCCTGACACAAAGGACAGGGTTCACTTGCCCCAGCACAGTCACCTAAAACCAGCGCAGACACTGGCTTTAGGTCCTGGGTATCCTATCTGCCCCAGCTGACATTCCAGAAGGGCACAGATCTCTGGTGGGTTTCACATCACACTTGGCTGCTCTGTGTGGCTTGTGTGGATGCTGCAGGACATCTTGAGTGGCACTACAAGCCTATGCCTGGGCAGCTGAATCACTCCCAAGTGCTTTACATCTACTGGAAAAGCTGTA